TTGTCAATATATACATAATTTTGTAGTTGCAGCTGTGAACACTTGATCAAACTATAATTATGAGCAGTGCAATACAATGTATTATCCCAAACAAATGTAAAATGATATGATACATGATTAAAATGACCTAATTGTCCTTATGAACCTTTGAAGCCCAATTACACCTTCTGAACCTAAGACTAAAACCTTAGAAGGCTTGTAAAATGAACCTCTAGTAGAATGTACCTTCCTCAAGCAATTTGAATTGATATCTCAAGAGTGTAAAAGGACCATATTATCCTTATAAGTCACTGTAATACATTAAGCACTCCAGAATTACTTAAGGTCAACTGAAATGGGCATGTGACAATATTTTGATATTTAAAGGACAAACTCTAATTCAAAAGTTGGATCAACACCTTACAGTTGTGATCTATTGCCTCTAAATTAATTGGTCGACATCTTCACCAACTCTCATCCTCCAAGCCAATTTTGTGATCTTGTCTCCAAATTCCAGTTAGTTTCATATAATCCAACTTGAATTTGAAGGGGATTATTAGAAATATTGGAATACATAAAACCTGGTGCACATTAGCTACACTATTTCATATCCTACCTTAGTAGCCTGCTACACAATAGCTCATAGTCTTAGCTTACTATTGTATATATACTTGATGCCCATTCCCACTCCTTAATGTATAGCCTTGGGCTCAAAGTTCTGTCTATCTATATACAGGCCTCATGTATATTCTGTTTATATAAGGGTAAATTACACTCAGACTCCCTAAGATTAGGTCATTTTGACCTATATGAAGATTTTGGTTTCGCTTTCACTTACACCTCAATTTGCGTTTTGGGATCTGACACATGTAAATTAACCCTTTTACATACCCTTAATTTTTTAATAAAATTTAATACAAAAAATCTATAATTCTAAAAGACAAAACTACCCCTCTTTGCATTTAACACGCACCAAATGACATCATACACATAACACCCAACACCCCTCTCTGCATCTAACCCACACCGCTCTCTCCGAACCAAACACAAACCTAGCCGCCGCGATCGAATACATATGAAGACGCACGAAGACGCACATAATATCAAGCTCTTTAGAGGCTAAGCCAAGGTATTAGAAGGATTACGCAAAGGTATTCACATCCTCAAAATCACTGGAGTCTAACTTGCTGCCGTGATTGAATCAGCCACAGTTCCCTTCGATTGATCTACCAACCTTCTTTTAGCATCTTTCACCCTGAGTTTACTCTGTTGCATCTATTAATTCTCTCTCGTGTGTCGTGATCTTCTTTTGGATTTTGTCATATATATTAGTTTTGACAACTCATGCGAATGTTAGAACTATTTTTTACTAGGCTTAATTTTGTGATCACGAGGCTTAATAGTGATTATGTGCTCATTGTTATTGTGGCAAATTGGAAGTTATCTGAAAATATATTTAATTTTTTGTCTTCCTGATTTCCCTGTCACTAAACTCAATTTTCAAACAGTATTTTTTGGTAGTTGAGCCCTTCTTAAACCACTTGCATTTATGTGCTTGAGTTGATATTCAAGTTGTTACTTTGTCCTTGAATGTCTCCTTTTACCATTCCTTTATTCTAATTTTTTTTTTCTTTTTATTTGCTGGATAGCTTTTCATTGAAGTCCATTTTTAGATATGTATGTCAGTATATTTGATTTAGATCATTAGAATGTTTTAACAATATGCATAATGCATACTTTTTTATCACGTGTGATTCAGTAGTCATTCTAAGAGCTTGTATTTTCCTTTAAACTATTGTGTTAGATATTTGTATTATATGATTGCAATTAGTCTCTTTTCTTTTTCTTTTTTTTCTCTATCAATTTATACTCTGATTTAATTGGTTCCTTTTCGATTTCTGTCTGAAATCCATCAATTACTGTGTTAATTTATTTATATATGGATTCTTAGTTTAAGTTTTAACTTACACTTTTACAATATTTCATTTCATTTCTGTGTGTCTACATTTCATTTGAAATTTCTGCTTGTTCATGTTTTGGTTCAATTGTTTCTGCATACTGTACCCAACTTTTGGGAGAAAAAAAATTACGTGTCTTGTCTGCATTTCATTTCACAAAAAGATCAAAAAGGAATAGAGCAGTAATAATAGCAACACAAGGCTATGAGGTATTAAATTCATTCAATAAAGATTTCTTCATTTCAATTTTCTTTTTCTATTATTTTTTTTCCAGATTTCTAATGCATTGTATGTCATTTATATTTTTGGTTTCATTTCAGGCTTCATGTTGCACCAGGAAGTAGGACCTAAACACCATTGAGATGTAATGAATTTGACGGCATTTTCTATTTGTGGAAGTTATTTAGTACTTTTAAGTTTGGTATTTGGTATTTATGATATTTTGTACTTTAAGTTGGGAATGTATTGATGTATTTTGAGACTTTATGTTGGGAATGTATTGATATATTTTGAGACTTTAAGTTGCTGTCGAAGGTTTTAAAAATTGGATTGTGATATATATAGAGGTTTAAAAATTGGATTGTATCAAGTTTTGATTTAGAGGTTTAAAAAAAAAATTACAATTGTTTTACAGGTTTTCAATTTAAATTAAAATTTGTTGACCAATTGCTTTACAGGATTGTAACAGCTGTTTTAAAGAGTTTTTTTCAAAAATATAATAATAATAACGGATTGTGCAAGATGCAAACAATCACACGAAATACGCAAGCAATGCTATTATGATTATCCAAGCTGCTTTACACGCTAATATGCAAGCAAATAAGAAAGAAACAAGAGTGTTAAATAGCAAAGATCATTATCAGGGAAAAAAAAAAAAAAAAAATAGCAAAGGCAACGGTGCTGCTTCTAAGGTCACTTAGGGGTATTTTTGTCATGAAAAAATTAAAATATACTTTTTTAAGTCAATAGATAGTTAAAAGGGTAAAATAATCGTTGTATATTAAGAATTCTGTCGTCACTACAAATTAACATTTAAGGTATAAGTATTTTAAATATGAATAAAAATTAAAACCAAAACCAGACCTAACCTTAATCTGAGTGTAATTTACCCATTTATACCATCAATACAATACTGATCAAAACTATTATTTTCTGTGTGTAAAAGTCTTCAAACTTTATTTTGCTTAACTTTTGAATGATGTGGAGGTTGGGAAATAAAGGTGTCTGACCTTCTAACTATACTTTGAATGGTTGTTGTGGGAACCTTAGTTAGCTTGCATATTTCAAATGTTATTTATATTAATATAAAGTGTCAAAACCGTACGCTGCCACATGTAATATTTTTTTATTAACTTTGCTTTATTTGCAACCTTTCTAATCATCTTGCAAAATTTAGTTTTTGCCGTGGGTCAAAATCATCTTCATTGCACTTACATTTACATTTTACTTTGAAAGTTTTATCATTTTTAGTGGTTAATATCACGCTTTATAATGACAAAATTTCTGTCAGGTCTTACTATGTTGACCTGATTTGTGAAGGTGTTACGAATACTTTGAAGTGAATTAATCTCATTCGTAAATAAGGATGAATGTTATATCGATTTAAGAATATTTTATTAAATAGTTAAATCAAATACGGCTCATTTAATAATTATATCAAAAACTCTCAATACTAACATGACCTGTTTATTAATAACCTGTTCAATGGCCTATTTAAAAAAAAAAAATTATATTATTTAAATTATTAATAATACTCAATAAAAATATAAATACTAGAAACATAAAAATTTTAATCAACCACATTACTAAATAGTCTCTAGTTTATAAAAGATTAAATTATAAGACACAAGTATATAGTAATTTTGGAACTTAAATAAAAATTTATTTATGACACATATAATTAAACGTATATAAACGAGTTATACGGATTAAATCTCTCAACCCAGACACAACACAATTAACTAAACGGATTAATCATATTGTGTTGGCGAGTCGTGTCAAATTTTGCCACCCTTCTCCGTAAAGTGTGTAGATATCTCTTTTGTAAAAAATAAAAATCAATGAACAAAATTTTCAATAAATAAGGGACCTTGTATAGTGAAATGTCCGTCAATGTAAACTCACCAATGAAGTACAAAATTAAGTAGTAGAGCATTTGTAAGTTTAGGTAACATTACCACATTTTTTATTGCAAGTTGTTAGAGTTTGAATATGCTCAATGTTTACTGGTTAGTGAAATGGAACAAACATTGTTACAAGGCATCGTTCTCCAAATTTTTTTTTATATTATTTTTAATGAAATTGTAAATTGATTCTCGTACTAGGAAACAAAGAAGGAGTCGCTTTACCTTAAATAAATAAAAATATAATAATAATAATTTTGAATTTATTTAGTTTATATTTTTAAATAGTTCTAACGAACTCAAAATTATAAAATTAAGATAGAACATATTCAATCTTTAAGGACATATTTGGAACACGTTTTGTTTTTACGTTTTTGTTTTAACCCGAATTATTGTTTTGAATAACAATAAAAAACATGTTCAGTAACATTCACTTGTTGTGAAATTTTTATAAACAAAAACATGAAAAATGTGAGTTTAGAAAATATAATGGTTAATTTTAAAATGACATTTAAGAATTTTTTAATTTATTATTATTATTTTTTTACTATTTAGTGCTACAATACTTGTTGTTACCGTACTAAAATATGTAAAAAAATCATATTGATGTTTCGATTTTTTACCAAATATATATTTTTTTACTATTTACACTCACTACAACAGTACCAGTATCAGATAAATAATAATAAAAAAACTTATACCAAATCGTCCAAATTAACTAAACAATTTTTTAAATATTTAGTTCTCTTAAAATATAACACTATCTTTAAAAAAAAAAAAATGAAGCAAACAAAGTTATTATTACTCCGTAATATTTATATTTATATATATATATATTAATCTTTTACGGTAATTTATTTTAAACCCTTAGATGAGTGGTGTAAATTATAAACATGTGTTTCTTTATTTATCTTACATTTCCAAAAGCCCAAATAAATTAAGAAGGCTGAATCGCCGAATGCTCAAAGTCCCCTAACCCATCGAGGGACATCGCAGGCTCTTTCTCTCTCTTCAATCTCTCTCTTTCTCTCTCTACCCAGTTCGTCCTTCTTCTTAATCTATACCAGATACCCATATTCTAGTTTCACTTTTTGACAAGGTATATTCTTTGCTTTCACTGCAATTTGGTCTAATGATTGTTCTATTTTCTTATCTTTCTGAGCTTATCCGTGGATGTGATTTTGCCCAACTGAAGTATATTGAAGAGCGTTATTTTTCTTTTAAAGGCTTTTATTTTGATTTTTCTTAGTTTTAACTATTATTTGGATGGTTAGTTTGTCTTTGAGTGCGTGTTTCAGTCACTTTAATTGAGTTTTTATGTTAATTGAGTTTTTTTTTTCGAATAATTTCATGTAGGGCAGGGCAAGAATCCATGTAAATTGTCCAACCCAGTGGCATACTGATGATGCATGCAATATATATTATATATATGTGTATATATATATTTTTTAAATTTTATGTTCTTTACCTTTTTATTTCTAAAAGCCCTTATCTGATTCATGGTCTGCCCTAGTTGATTTTTTTTATTTACCTTTTTTTTTGTGCTCTAAACTAGCAACTAAGGTTCATCTTTGGCATTTTAGAATTATTTTTAATCAAAATTTCTATATAACCTGAATACTACATGTGCTTGTTGTCTGAAGTAATGAATATTTATATAATTAAGTTGGTATCAAGTTAGGCTGGGTGGTGTAAGGGGATTTTTCTACCCAGATGGTATAAGGCACACTTGGGCGGTTGATATAGTTTGTTGCCATTGTTTATATTTGGTTTATTATTTTCTACCCTCTTTTCAATGATTTTACTAGCTTTACCTTACAACTCATATGTCAGTCGAGTTTTTATGATGTTGAAGCCATTTGCCATGGCCGGTGTATATGAAAAATTGATATTTTTTTCCAAAGCTTGTATGTCCGGAATTTATTGATTATGTGACTTTTATTTATCTTGATCTTTGCTAATTCATACGCATAATATCATTTTAATATGAGAATTGGATGGTTAGATAATAAAAGAATTCGTATCAACTTATGTGGGAGATCCATCTTAGTTAATGGCCTGATGAACCCATTGTGTTGTTAATGCAAGTATATTCTTTGTTTCGTTATTGCTCTTTCTTGACCCTTGTGCTTATTTCTCTTTGCTTTAGTACAGTGTGTATTTGTAAGCTCTTCATTTTGTTGGATAGGAGATTAATAATTGGGTGTTGATCATGCAACTTTCTTTTTGACTTTTGCACTATTACTACAATTTTATAGGTTTACTTGTACTTGATTTATGCAAGTTGGATGCTTAGCTTTTGGGTCTTGAAAGTTACATTCTCGGACCTGTTTTTCACAATTTCATGCCATTTAATTGCTGTTTAATTTATTTCATCACTGAATGCAGATCACTTGAAGGCAGTCATGGCTAGGGCTCTGGTTCAGTCTCATATTCTTTCTGTACATGCTGGTGAAAGGAATAGTCAATTAAAGGGATATGGAAAACCAACAACAACAACAACAACAAGCCATTTCCCAACTTCTTGGGGTCAGCTATCTGGAAAACCAAAAAGGAGTGTTAAAATGATGCTTAGTTTACAAATGCCTGCACTGAGGATAAGGAGTTTCTCAGGATTGCGAGGATCCAATGCTTTAGATACTATGCTAAGACCTGGCCAGGATTTCCATTCCAAGGTGGCAGCTGTAACCACAATCAGGCGAGGAAGGGCTAATCGAATTGCACCGAAAGCAATGTTTGAGCGATTCACTGAAAAAGCAATAAAAGTTATTATGCTTGCACAAGAAGAGGCAAGACGACTTGGTCATAATTTTGTTGGCACAGAGCAGATTTTGTTGGGTCTTATTGGTGAAGGCACTGGCATTGCTGCTAAGGTTCTCAAATCCATGGGAATCAATTTGAAAGATGCACGCGTGGAAGTGGAGAAGATCATTGGAAGGGGAAGTGGATTTGTTGCTGTGGAGATTCCATTTACTCCTCGTGCAAAGCGTGTTCTTGAACTCTCACTAGAGGAGGCCAGACAGCTTGGTAAATTCTTCTTTTTCTTCAGTGCGTTAGCTTTAAAAAAACTTGTAGGTTTGAAGATATTGAGAAAGCCTTTGCTCCAATAATGTTTGTGACTGCTTGCGCCAAGAACATTCTGTTCTGGCTTCTCATTTGTGGAAACATCAGTAATACAGTTACTTTAGTTATTAAATGCTCAGTTCTGAACAACAACACATACACACATTTATATATTTAACTAGTATTGAAATGATTCTGGAAGATAATTAGTTAACCATATTGCTAAATGTTTCAGGCCATAATTATATTGGATCTGAGCATTTGCTGCTGGGATTGCTTCGTGAGGGTGAAGGTGTGGCAGCCCGTGTCCTTGAGAACTTAGGTGCTGATCCAAGTAACATTCGCACACAGGTAAGCAGTACAAATTTATAAGTTGTGCCAAGCCAATTAATTTTCTTTTGGAATTCCCTTTATTTTTACTCCAAAATTGTAATTTGCTAAAGTAGAATCCTCATTGGGGCAAGTAGGTTATTCGAATGGTAGGAGAGAATGCAGACAACACTGTTGGTGTTGGTGTTGGAGGCGGATCCTCTGGCAACAAGATGCCAACACTGGAAGAGTATGGCACTAATTTGACAAAGCTGGCAGAGGAGGTATTTTGCAAATAAAGTTTACTGTTCTGACAGTATGAATAATTTTGCTCTTCAGCTGGTTTCTTAAGCTGGTTCTCTTGCATTTTTAGGGTAAACTGGATCCTGTTGTTGGAAGGCAACAGCAAATCGAACGCGTGACTCAAATTTTGGGTCGGCGGACAAAAAATAACCCCTGCCTTATTGGAGAGCCTGGTGTTGGAAAAACTGCCATTGCAGAAGGCCTTGCTCAACGAATTGCGACTGGTGATGTTCCCGAAACAATTGAGGGGAAGAAGGTGAGTATAATATAAAGCAGATGTTAAAAACACAACTACGGCATAAACTGATTTGCTAGTATAAAGTTATAAACTGTGCATGAATTTGTCTAGGAATCAAACTTATAAATCTTTGTATTTTGAAAATTGAGGACTACTTATCAAAAAAAAAATGAACACTACATCTTCCAGGTTTTATCTGAAAATTATATTTCGGATCTAGTGTTCAAGTGATATAAAATCACATCATGTTATATCACTTCATGTCTTGATGTTTCATACACAAGCTGCTTCTCTCTCTCTCTCTCTCTCTCTCTCTCTCTCTCTTTTAATATATATATTTTCTCTCTCTTTCATCTAGTTATTTGTTGATAAGCATCTGCTGCTTCTACACATAGATTAACTGATTAAGCAATATTATGTCACAAAAAAGAGCTATCCTCATTTTCTTGGGATTTTGCGTCAGAGTTTAGTGCAGGTATGTTAGGGAATTTTGTTTTTCCTAGACTTTCTTATCACCTATAATGTACCGATGTCATCTTGACACAACACGATACCACATGGTTGTGGGTGTGAGATATGTGTCTGACTCACGTACCCTAATTGGACACTTGGATCCTCTATTCTTGACGATGGAAGAAGGAAAACTCAAATGTGATAGCAAAGAAGGGTTATCTACATCTGAGAGAGATGTCTCTCCCTTTTATTTCCACCATATTCCTTTAAAATTCGATTATTATATGAGTACATTAGTATTGTTGAAGGATTTAATATTAAAGTTACACTCTATCTAACAGTTTAAGCTTCTGGAGTTGATGGTGGTTAACATGGTGTCATAGCCAAAAAGTCTCGAGTTCAAACCTCACCGTCACCCTAATTAAGATTGAAAAAACACGTGTTGAACCAAAAAGAAGGCCACATGTGAGTGGGCGTGTTGAAGGATTTAAATATTGAAGTTACACCCTCTCTAACAGCTTAAACTTTTGGAGTAAATGGTGCTTAACAAGTATCATTTGTTATGCATTTATGTAGCTTAATATGTTTTCGAGTGTGAAAGAGTTTCCACATGCCCGTATCTGGTTTTTGGACACATTTCAAGTTGAGTCCTTTGGGATGCATTTCAAGCTGAGCCATGTATCCTAAGATTTGGAATTTAGGGGGGGTTCTGACTTTTAAACACATTCATATCCGATGCATGTACACGTCTCCAGGTAACATAGAAGGGAAGTAAGCAAAAAAGTTTTCTTGAGTTATATGAGAATATCTGGAGTTTATGTGTTCAATTTCAATATTCATTTTGAAATAGTGTAATATAAGGCATTAAACATGATGTTTGTCAGAGAACCAGTTGAAGAGCATAGTCTTCAAGCCTTGTGGAGAATTTAGGGGAAATGGCATGAAGTGATTGAAAGTTTTTAGTTACAGTGGAAAGTGTGAGGAAATTTAAGCATAAAAATATGGTTCATCTATTAATTGGATGTACAAGCTGTGTGCATGCTTGAAAGGGAAAATGGAAAAGTCAAAGCATGTGAAACAAAATTTGGTTTTAGTTTTCCTTTGCTTGGCATGTATGACTATCATCTTTTTATCATTAGCTCTCTCTTTTGTTGGGTTTTGGGTAGATATTGTACATCTTTAGAGGAGACTTGATTTTGTGGGTTCCTTGGGTCCTTAGGGTCCCTTGTGGCCTTTGTGTTGTTCTTGGGACGCGCTCCCCTTTTGAACGCTTTCTAATACATTTTTACTTATAAAAAAATATATATGACTATCACATCAGAGTTTTAATGTACAGATCAATCTAAGTAATCTATATGAAATTGGAGCTGATCTCATTGCAGCAGATGCGGAGCTTATAGTTTCTACTATTGACAATTCAGGAGATGGATAAAATGTTTTTTTTTTTTTTTTTGGCACATCTTCAATAAGATGACCAAGTGAAGAAGTCCTTCTTATTCGACACATTCATCTTCTAGGTGAATGGTTATTTGAATTCACTGAAACTTGATTGTTTCGTTTATCAGTAAGTGCATTTTTGATCTTAAATAGAAAGCAGTCTTATTTGTGTTCCTTTATTTGCTATGAAGATCAGATTTATTATTGTGGACATGCTCACATGGGACTGTTGCAGGGACGGACCAGAAAATTACATGAGAGGGGGCGATAGTGGGATTTTTTTAGTAATTTCAGTGGGGGCAATAGTGGGATTTGTAGGTATATATATCAAAATGAAGAAATTAGTAGGGTATAATCCTAAAATAAAAAATAAAATAAATTGTCCGTGCCTGGACTGTTGGGTAGTGCTACTGTGACCCCACTTACCCCATTCCCCATTCCCTCCTGAGCTGTCATATGTGAAGTAAATACTGGCCTTGCTTCTTACTGGATTTTTTATGCATGGACCTGTGTAATATGCTATATGAGTGTACAGCACTTACACAAATTTTCAGTTGCTCAAAAGAAGTCCTTAATTGTATATGAATGTCACAATGAGTTGGTGCAGCTATCCTCGCTGAGTTCCATATGGCTCCGTTGGTGCTGGAAGCTCAAACCATCCATTTCTTAATTCCTGCATCAAAAATTTGGCTGACATGTTTTTCATTTCAAATTGTAGAATCCATTTTATTGCACCAGGACTATGAGTTATGAATTCTGGTTATGTTACACTGTAGAACTAATTACGTTGACTTCTTGATGCTCATGTCTTGAGAATTTTTGGTTTAAAATAAAACAACAACTCTATGGTGTGCACAAAATTGAAAATGGCATGCATCTCAATGTTTGAATGATTCTCATCAGTTGTATGGAATGATATTGTTGTTCCTTTTTTTTTAAAAAGAAGTGGAATTTACTTGTATGCTATACAGGTTATAACTCTGGATATGGGTCTTCTTGTTGCTGGCACAAAATATCGTGGAGAGTTTGAGGAAAGATTGAAGAAGCTGATGGAGGAAATCAAGCAAAGTGATGAAATAATACTATTTATTGATGAGGTGCACACACTAATTGGAGCAGGAGCAGCAGAGGGGGCAATTGATGCTGCTAACATTTTGAAACCTGCTCTTGCAAGAGGTGAACTGCAAGTAAGTTAGAATCAGCTAGCTTCTTCTTCGCCTTTGTTCTATTTTTATTTTAGTTCTGGCTATGTTCTGTGTATTGGAATTTGACATGTTACAGACATTATACCTCACTTTTCTGTTTTGAAGAAGTGTTTAGGTTTTTGTCCAAATAAAAATTTGGGTTCAAATCGATAATTGGAAATAAACACTAATTAATTTTCTTTTTAGCGTTATTTTGTTCTTAATATATTAATAAAGTCTCCCATCCCAGAATCCATGGCATGTGTCCAGGAGTGTGAGAAGAGTAAATCACGTTTCCAAAAATTGGAGAAAAAATTTCATATCACTGGAGATGTGCAGAAGTGTCAATGGAGGACACGATGGTTAATTTTGGATGTTATAGTTTAATATATGATTGAAATGATTTTATGAGTGGTAAATAAAAAAATCATTGAACTATTGATTCTGGATGTATTTTAGTGCTTACTTAAACTGTCAGTTCTAATCATATATCCGTACAAGTTTTTATCAGTAGTCATACATTTTATGCTTTTTTTTTAAAAAAAAAAAATTGGGATAAGTTGTGTTGATGCTTATTGTTATATTAATTTATGAAAAAATACTTACTTTTATGTTTTATCTCATTGATGCAGTGTATTGGCGCAACAACACTTGATGAATACAGAAAGCACATTGAGAAAGACCCCGCTTTAGAGAGGCGTTTCCAACCGGTTAAAGTGCCTGAACCCACTGTTGATGAAACTATTCTGATTCTGAAAGGGCTGCGAGAACGATATGAGATCCACCACAAGCTTCGATATACAGATGAAGCTTTAGTTTCTGCTGCACAATTGTCGTACCAGTACATCAGGTATGTGGTTCCTGTGATAACTGGTTTTGAATTTGGCACCTGCATTTTGTATGTACGCGCGATGTTACTGACAAATGGTAGGTTGGTTCAAGAAATGGATATTTTTCTAATAAAAATTAGTCAACTATAAGCAAACCTAGTAAAGTATGGTTATTTGTGCTCATAGCATCAAAATCTCTCGCTTTCTTTCTAATGGAAAAATACCATGTCAGAATTGGAGAAAATTGAATCATGGGAGGATAAGTTCGCTGGAGAATAATTTAAGTAATGATGCAATCAATTTAAGAAAGAAAATGGTTGGAAGTAATGCTCTTTGTAAGCAAAACAGTGCACTATTGGAACTAGCACCCTTAATAAGCGTATGATATACTCCATCTCTGAAGTTTATACTTTTTAACTATTTGAGGTGCTTTTGATATATCTCTCTCTGGTTTATTTTTTTCCACTTTTCTTTTTTCCTGGTTAATTTTGGATCTGGATTAACTGATGCCGGATATGTGGGATCTATCATTACAAGCGTTGGCTAATTAGAATATGAAATGTCATACTTATTTCTTGATAATTATAGTTCTTCATAATATTTATAAATATATATTCACTGAAGTTTAGATTTACGAGGATGGATTTACCCTTTTTGATAAGTAAAGTACTGTAAAAGCATGCTCAACCGGGGAGCGCATCCCAAAAAGAACTAACACGTGCCAAATAGGGACCCTAAACTCTCAACTTATCCACAATCTCCTATCGATTTACATTTTCTCCCTTGAAGCCAAAGAAATAAAAGTCAAGAATAGAGAACTTAAGACCAATAGGAGTCTCCTCTCCCTCAAAAAACCTCCTATCTCTCCCTCCACAAAACCCACTATAAACACAAAGGTGTTACCCTCCAGGCATCTCGGGCTTGTGACCCCGCTACAACCTCTTCAAGCCTCGAGCAAGCACATTGTAGAAAGAGGCATGAAAACCTCCTATTTCTCTCCCTCCACAAAATCCACCATAAACACGAAGTGTTACCCTCCATGCATCTCGGGCTTGAGACCCCGCTACAACCTCTCCAAGCCTCGAGCAAGCACATTGTAGAAAGAGGCATGACGCAGTGAACCCCGATCATACCCAAGAGTATGGACCAGCTATCCCGAGCCACTGGACAGTGCAGAAGTAGTTGGTTCACCGACTCATTCATCACATGCAACACCAGTTCACAATAATCTGTCTGCTCCTGCTTAGGTTGTCAATCGTCTATATTCACCCCAGAACTGCTGTCCAAACAGAAAAAGTCATCTTAAGGGGAGCCTTGGTCAGCCAAACTGCCTTCCAAGGGAAGAAATGCCCCCGAACAATCAACAACCTCCTATAGGAGAGCACCTTGAATCTCTCATGAGAGAAGGCCATCCAGAACCGCTCGTCGATCCCGCTCCCTCCATCCTCTGGCGGTAAATCAATGTCAGAAGCTTGGAGATATCCTCCATCTCCCAAACCTGAAAGTGCCGCTCAAACACTACATTTGAAGTAGTCCTTCTGCCATCAAGCCGATAACAGTCGGTGACCAAGATCTGCCTGTCCAGTTCAATCCAAAGCCAAGACCCCAAAATGTTGTGAATTAACTTTACCAGATTTGATAACTAATTTTAGTTGAACTTGGAAACTTTCTCACATACTCTCTTAATTAAATACTTTCCTAAGCCTCAATTACAACTACTTGGGGTTCTTATCAAAAAAAAAATTACAACTACTTGGGGTTGTGTATTAGCTTGCTTTAAGTAAGAGTAATGCTCTGAAGAGGTCCCTTTCATGAGAAGAGCCATGAGCTCTCCCTATTTAAAGATTGGATAAAACAATTTTTTGAGATGTGTGAAAAGTCAAATCAATTATTTAATGCATCTAAGTTAAAAAAATAGGACAGCTCATGGATCTTCCCATGAGAGGGACCTCTTAGGAGCGTGTACTAGCTTGCTTTAAGTAAGAGTAATGCTCTTAAGAGGTCCCTCTCATGGGAAGACCCATGAGCTCTCCTATTTTTTTTAACTTGGATGCATTAAATAATTTATTTGACTTTTTACAGCTCAAAAAATTGTTTCATCCAATGGTTAAATAGGGAGAGCTCATGGCTCTTCTCATGAGAGGGACCTCTTAAGAGCATTACTCTATTAAGGAATACAGATGGTACATCATTGTTTTAACATATAAACTAAAGGAAATATGCACTTGATACTAACAGGATTTTAATAAATACAGAAGGTAATCAAGTAGTTTTACATTCTAAACTAGTGAAATTATACACTCAAAACTTGCAGGATCTTACTACATATTGAAGACAATCAACTAGTTTTACATTTTAACTGGTGTTAAAGGGAAACTTAACCGAAGACTATGAGATTCAACATATAGAGCACTATTTCTCATTATATTTTAGTCTTCTTGTTTGAGTTAGGGAAGACTGGGAAATAGGAAAGGAAAACAAGAAGCCTCTTTAGAATCCAGTGGACATCATAGGGGATTTGCTTGGTATCCTTATGAAGTTAAAAAGGCACTACAATATGAGACAGCGACTTGGTTTCGGGGATTTAGTAGAATTAAAATCTGTTGGGAGAATCTCATTGGAGTGATTTTAGCCTATGAAAGAAATTTATTGGAGTGATTTACGGGATTGATTTTAGGAATCCTTCATCAGTGTATTTTCCATATTTATCACTTGTGTTCTTTCATCTATATAAATAGAGGTGCTCATTGTAAACAATCAGAGAAGATAATAAGAGTTCTCACGACAAAAACTAACACCGCACAAGCACACAAATGAGAGATTCTCTATACCAACTTCTCGTCAAGAAATTTAGCTTTAGATACATGCATAAGTGTGGGCTTCCAATTTTTGCAGTGTATATTTGTATCTGCATAATGTGTTCTTATTTTTGGTACCCTATTTATATCCAGTTATGCATTTAACGGGTTTTTTTCTATTCAGTGATCGTTTTCTGCCTGATAAAGCAATTGACTTGATTGATGAAGCTGGTTCTCGGGTCCGACTTCGTCATGCACAGGTAAGCTCATAGTCAAGTGTTGCTACCTTCCTCTTTTTTCTTTTTTTGTTATTTTTTTGACTAGCTAGGCTGCATTCCCTTTCTTTCCAGCTCCCGGAAGAAGCCAGAGAGCTTGAGAAAGAGCTCAGGCAAATCACCAAAGAGAAGAATGAGGCTGTTCGTAGCCAGGACTTTGAAAAGGTAATTGTCATATTGTGTTACATTTTGTCAGTCACTTTGTCTTGTACTGCCTACCTATTACGAGGATGAACCGAATAAATGATGCAGTTATAGTCAATATCTAAATCATAATAGAGTTGTGTATTAAGCAAGTGTTCAGTTAAATTAAACACTATGGAGTTTTCAGTAAACACTTTATGCCTGCATCTAAGTCTTTTAGATACTGAATTTTACCAATTCTTTTACCATTTTTAAATGTGAGCTTATGGTGCTATAATTTTTGAACAGGCTGGGGAGTTACGTGATAGAGAAATGGACCTTAAAGCACAGATTTCGACGCTTGTGGACAAAGGTAAAGAGATGAGCAAGGCAGAAACTGAGGCAGGGGATGCAGGTCCTGTTGTGACAGAGGTGGACATTCAGCACATTGTTTCTTCTTGGACCGGCATACCTGTCGAAAAAGTGTCAACTGATGAATCTGACCGCCTCCTCAAGATGGAAGAGACCCTACACAAGCGTGTTATTGGCCAGGATGAAGCTGTCAAAGCCATCAGCCGTGCTATCCGTCGTGCCCGTGTTGGACTAAAGAATCCCAATCGACCCATTGCTAGCTTCATCTTTTCTGGTCCAACTGGCGTTGGGAAGTCAGAACTGGCAAAAGCACTAGCTACCTACTACTTTGGCTCTGAAGAAGCCATGATCCGGCTGGATATGAGCGAGTTCATGGAGAGACACACCGTCTCCAAGCTCATTGGTTCACCTCCTGGCTACGTAGGTTACACTGAAGGTGGCCAGCTTACTGAGGCTGTTCGGCGACGTCCTTACACTGTTGTACTCTTTGATGAGATTGAGAAGGCTCACCCTGACGTCTTCAATATGATGCTTCAGATTCTTGAGGATGGAAGGTTGACGGATAGCAAAGGCAGAACCGTGGACTTCAAGAATACTCTTCTGATTATGACATCGAATGTTGGAAGTAGTGTGATTGAAAAGGGAGGACGCCGAATTGGTTTTGATCTTGATTATGATGAGAAGGATAGCAGTTACAACCGAATCAAGAGCCTGGTGACAGAGGAACTGAAGCAATACTTCAGACCAGAGTTCCTAAACAGGTTGGATGAGATGATTGTGTTCCGGCAGCTGACGAAGCTGGAGGTGAAGGATATAGCAGATATAATGCTTAAGGAGGTTTTCGAGAGGCTGAAAACCAAGGATATAGAGCTTCAGGTAACGGAGAGGTTCAGAGATAGGGTCGTGGACGAAGGATACAACCCAAGTTATGGGGCAAGGCCCTTAAGAAGAGCCATAATGAGACTCTTGGAGGACAGCATGGCAGAGAAGATGCTTTCAAGAGAGATCAAAGAAGGTGATTCAGTTATTGTTGATGTCGATTCTGATGGTAATGTGACTGTTCTCAACGGTAGCAGTGGAGCCCCTGAGTCACTACCAGAGCCAATTCCTGTGTAGATCAAACATTTTGACCTTTGCTCTGTCGTTGTCTGTACTGCAGCTTTTCTTTCAAATTGGTTATGTTTATTCTTGAAACGGCTGGCTGGCAGTAGGCAGAATCTGCTTCATTAATTTATAGCGAGTTTTAAGGCTGTACTATTACGCTATTACGCTACGATTGCATGTATAGTTTATATCAGATGGTAGAATTTTGTTTAGTGTTTTGGTTTATAGAGTGATCCTAACAAGATGACATGTTTGGTGTTGGTTTTACAGAGTGATCCTAATAAGAGGACATGTTTATTAGGTTGAAGGTTTTCTTAGTCATAATCTGGTTTCCTTATTATGTTTATGTTTTGTTTTCTTGCAATCTTCCTGAGTGGTTTTGCAGTTACTGGTTTTGGCCATTGTAGTTGGTTTTTCTTAGTCCATCCTCCTGACTAAGGAATGCCAAATGTCAGTGTTTTTCTTTACGTTTTACGGTACAAGTTTTCACCTACCTTTGTTTGAAAAATTATGTTGATTCTTGTCAGGTTTGGTAGGCCAAGACCATTTTAGCTAGACACAAGTCGTTTAAGAAGAGAGTTCCAAAATGTTTTTCGAATTTATTGAGCCGTATGAGATTGAATGCAAGATTTTGGTTGAACCACCAAATTAGGTGGCGAATGAGGGCTCTAGAACTTCAAAATCTAGCTAGATTCTGGACGATGTTGAGCATAGCTAGTTAGTAGGACTGGATGGTTTGGAACCCGAAGGGCACGTGGCACTGCTGACTGTATGTTGGTCCGGAATGTGACCAAAATTATCTTGAGTGCACACAACCATCCTTTGGACCCCCACCCATCAGGCAACTCACTTGGTATGGACTAAGTCACACAATCCTTCTTAACAGGTTTCGCTCTCACGTTTCGCGCGCGCTCTAAAATTAAATTCTCACTATTTATGACTTAATTCTGCTGTTCTCACGTTTCGGCTCTAACTCCCGCTTTATGTGACTTAGGGTATGGAGTGCTCCAACCATTCCCAAACAGTACTTTATTGTTTGGCTTGCAGTACACAATCGACTCTCAACCCTTGATAGAAGCTCAAGAGTTTATCAACATATCGTGTTGCTCAGGAATGGAATTTGCGTGCCTCACATCTCCGTCCTCCTCCACGGCCACCAGACCTTGATGAGTATGAGCAACTGCTAGAACAACGTCATGAACCACCATGAGAGTTCTTCATGGTTGCAACAATCGTCAACTACCACTGACACCATGTAATTTGGTTTTGAATTTTAGCTGAATCTGCCTATTAAACTGCTACTGGACCCTAACACTTGGGCTTTAATCTTTTGTCTATGTTGGAGCCCACTATCCATTATTGTATTTCCAATAGTTTTAATTTTTGGGTAAATAGGTAAGCATTCACTCATTACAGTTGGTATCAAAGGTAAGACCCAATCCTTGATCCAGTATCACGCCAAACGCCATACCTGAAAGCATCTGGGTGAGCCCACCCGGGAGGCAAGGTGGCCCAACCAGAATGAAGATTCGTGTGAAGAAGAATGTTACAAGGGATATTTGTCCTACATTGGATCTGGATGAGAAGTGAAATAAATATGAATGGGTGAATATGCAGCACTACCCAATAACTTGCTTTGTTTAAACTTTTAAATAAATGGGCAAACGCCCACCCGCTATAATTAGTCTTTAGGGCCTAAGAATCTTCCTAATTTGTTTTCCCTACTTGGTAATTGGGCTCGATCTAGCCCAAACACTTGTAAATGCTTCTCATCTATACAATTTGCTTGATTTTTTGCGAAAAAAAAAATTATAATAAGTAATACTTTTTTTTAACTAGATTTGATTTCTTTAAAAGAAATAATAAAAAAGTTCATTGAATTTTGAAGGGCCTATATCATTTGCAAATCACCTTTAATAACCATAAATGGGTGCCAATAAATCTTTTTTTTTTTTTTTTTTCCTTCAAAATTTGGGGTGGCCAACCTTGGTTTTTCAATGCAAAATCACCATTAATCACCATAAATAGCTACTATTAATAGAGTTCTGGCAAAGCGGGGGAATAAGTGCAGTATCAAAAATTAAAATTTGAAAAATTCTAAAAAAATTTAAAATAAAATTAAATAAGTTGTAAAAATGTATTTTTTTGAGATTCTGTCTGTAAAGTTCTTTTTCCCATGCATGTCTATAGATGACACGAGAAGAAAAAATGGAGAGGAGAACAATTTATAACTAATAAATGAGCTCTTTAATTAACATTATTATTTTTGTCTCTCTTGAAATGCGAAAAATTATTAGATGATTTTGGTTCATTTGACAAATGGTGGACCAATTCAATACAGACCGTTGTTGAGATTTATTTATAACATATTAATACATTTTTGTGGGATTATTTTTTTAATGAGAGTCTGAATTGAATTAATCTACCAAGTGTCAATGGACCAGATGTCAAATAATTAACACTATTTTTTACTAAATTTGAACTTTTAAAAGAACCGAGTAAATTGATGCATTGGTGATTGGACTTTGACGGGCCACAAGTAATTTATTTTGCAGACCACATTTTATTAACAATCATAAATAGATGACATTAATAGGATTTTTAAAATTTTGGCGGGGCAAACTTTTGATTTTCTATATATATATATATATATATATATATATATATATATATATTAATATATATAGCCATTTCATATAAATAATTTTTTTTTTCTTTCAAAACCCTATTAATGGTGCCTACTTATGGTAATAAATATATATATATATATATATATATATATATATATATATTTAAATGTACTATAAAGTTCCTCTCTTGGAGTACGTACTAGGGACAGAGTTTTTCATATGCATGGCTATTAATATATATGCATGCGATCCAGTAATTGAAAAGGTGAATTAATTACAATATAAATGAGAATCAGATTTTTTTAACATTATATTGGTGCTGGATTGCCTTATAAAGACAGTGTAAAATTCGAGTAGAACAAGGGCGAGAAAAAACCTACAATAGTTGTTGCAGAGAGTTAACAAACAATATGGAGAATTCGTCATCCAAGTTGGCCTTCTTAGTTGTGTTGTTTCTGGCATTAGGTAATCTTTCTATTTATCTCTTCGTTTGGTTAGATTGAAAATATGATGAAATGTGCAAAGAAAATAAAGTGAAGAGAAAGAAAATAAAATAGAAATTTAAAATAAAAAGGGTTTTCTTTCAAGTGAAAATATATTTTTGCTTGTGTGGGAAAAGTTTTGAAGGAAAATAGGCAGTTGCTGCAACCCTAATTTTCTCTGATGTTTCCTTTTCATCCTATTCAAATTCTAAAAAAAAAAATTATATATATATATATATTTGAAAGGTAAAGCAAATAATTCACGCACTCTGCCTCCAACGAGGCTCAAACTCAAGACATCCTTTTAAAATATTTGGGTCTATTTTTTTCTTATCGAACCAAATGAACCCTACACATGATTTCTTTATCTTTTTACTATATTATTATTATTATTATTATTGGGCTAGTACCAATTACATTTTTTTTTACTATAAAGTTACTTTTTTATTATTACATTTCTTTAATTTAATGTGTTGAATATTAATGTTAAATACAGGTTCGGCTTTGGTAGCTGAGGCAAGAGTGCAAAATCTGAAGAATATTGCAGCTGATGATAATAGCATAGGAGTGAAAAGAACCCTACCAAGATGCATGGAGGACTGGCAATGCGTTCTTATTTGCGACAAATGTTACCTCTATCATTGTGATCTTAAGACTCACACATGCGTTTGTTGTTAGATTAAGAAAAGTGAAGTGAAAGAAAAGAAAATAAGAACTTCAAATAAAAAGGGTTGTTTTTACGTGAAAATAACTTTTCTTCCCTTTATATATATATATATGAAGGGAGAATTTCTAAATAAAAAAAGAATGACTTTATATTTATTGAAAGAGTGTTGTATTCTTTTATGGAGTTCCTCCATCCATCCAAATTTGTTTTAAATTCATGTTTGATTTTGATACAGGTCAGATTCCTTTTAGTTTCTTCTAAGCTTTCATTCAATGATTGTAAATCTTTAATTGATATGATGACTTGCAAAATTAATCACTGAACCAGTAGAGTCTATCTCACGCAACTAAAAGAAAAAATGGTGGAAATTCAGGGTTCCTTGAACAATAATTCAATCGACTGGTTCGATTGTTGTATCAATTGATAAAACATAGAAAATAAATGTATGAGTAATTCAATTAAGGTTCGAGCCATAGCTCAATTGACGGACAATCATTTTTAATTGAGGCTCTATTTCTTTGGAAGTAAAATATTTTTTTATTTTTTAGTATTTGGTTGTAGTAAAATATTTATAAAGAAAAAAATATTAAAACTTAATAAAAATAACTTATCAATCAATTTTTAGTAAGTTATTTTACAAGTTCCGTCCGATAGACTCAACCTCAACCTAAACCTCTGTCAAACACCGAATGAGTAAAAAAAGAAAAATCTTTTCCGAATAAAATATTTTACGTCGAAACAAACGCAACCTGAGTTCTATCACTTACTTTCTCCGTCTCTTACACCTCTGCCCTCTAACCATGATCATCTTCACTTCTTACACCTCCACCCTCCTACGGCCCTACCACTACCCCCTCTTCACCAACCACCATATTTATAGACGCATATACCTTGGTAAGATTATGAACCCAAACTCATATGTATAAATCTAATTTGAGCAAGAACCAATATATCTAAGCAAAATACACTTGTATATCAAAATATATATATAAAATCACGCATTGTTCTTCGATTTTTTAAAAATATTTTTCAATTAGTTTTCATCATGCACGTTGATTTATTTTGAAGGCTAATTAATATTTCAAAAACAAAAAAGGCTAAACTAGCTATTTAAAAGAATGGACAAATACCGTCTTTATTAGTTTTAAGTGACTGCCAACTATGCCTTCAAACGCCAACATTTTAAGAATCCAGTTTTGTTATGAAATGACCATTTTAATCCTAACCTCATATTATGACCATTTTGACTCTTGAACTCACTTTTGCACCCATGCGTGTCATCCATTCTTAGTATTGATGTATGAGAGTGTCTTGAGTTCATTTAGCTGATCTTACCATGCTATTTGACCCTTTTACCCTTTGTACCTCAGCTTCTGCATTCATCTTCCACTTCTATTTCGTGACTTCTTGGAAGGTTACTTTGCTGTTTTAAAGGTAGTGTCTATTTCTAGAGACCTCATTTCTTTTCTTACTTCCGCGTTTCGGACTGGTTATCAGGTCAGTTTAACGGTTACTCGCTGACGCTCCG